TATTTATATTTATAGATACAGACAGTGAAAGGGAGATTGTGGTTTTATGCATGCTTATTTCTTTGCTTTGGATTCCAATACTTCTAAAAAAAGAAAAAAAAAGTCTTTTCAGGAAATAAGCTTCGGCACAAGATGCCACGATTGTTTCTTTGAAGAACATTTTTACATTTGATCTCACAAGGAACCCTCCCTCCCAAGCTCTCCTTCTCAGAAACCCCAAGATCAGAACACAAAAGGAAAAGGTGCACGTTTCTAGGCTGTATTTTTTTTCTTTTTTATCCTTTCCTCGTCAAAGCCTGCGGAACGGCCGGTATTTCCCAACGAGCTGCAGCACAAGAGGAAGGACGCTGTGACCTGCTGGCACTGGCTGAGCTACTCGGCAGAACAGTTCACTGACGATTTCACTGTCCCAGCGCCATCTCCGAAAAAGTTAACGACAAAAAAAAAAAAGCCCCAAAAATTCAAGCAGCTCTACATGCACATACAGCTACGACATGCAAAACCACCCCACCTTTGAAAAGAGCAAAATGCACAGACGCGTGGCTAGCAAGGATCTTCTCCAGCCTCTAGTTTTCTGGGAGCTAACGCTGGGGAGCCTCAGAACGAGAGGAGGGGAACGAGGGAAAACCAGGACTCTCCAAATCCAGGGGTAGAGGCTGTCGCCTCAGAAAGTTATTTCCTGATAACTCCGAGTTCGTGCCTGGCTATCTGGGAGCCTTCGCCCTGAAAAACAGCGGGGTCAGAGATTTCCACGCCAGACTTCCTTTTCCCCCCTCTCTCCCCATTCATTTAAGGCACAAACATATTTACAGTTTCAAACGAAACCTTTTCGCGTTCCAAGAATCGGACACCAGAAGGACCCGTGCATCCCGCCGTCCCTGGAAGATCCGGAGGTCAGTCACCCACGGGGCACCGACCGAGGACGTGCCCCACCTGCCACCCTGAAGCAAAGGGAGGACTCTCTAACCCTATCGAACGGCTTTTGAGGTTACTTAATTGTAGACGAATTGATAAACGGCAACGATTGCAACCGAAACTTGAAACGACGGCTTCCCCGCTTGGCCCCAGCGGCGTGAAGCGGTTTTCTGAGCGCTGGAGAGCGGTCACGACGGGTCTCGAGGGGCTCGCCCCGTACGCGGGACACACGAGAGCATGCAGCATGTGTGACACAGACTCGGCTTTCCTCTTTTTTCCCCCCCCCTCCCCTCCCCAATTCAACACACACAAAACCCCTCCACCAAGGAGAAAATCGTCGCGACGAGGCACTTGAACGATAATCGAGGAGTCCCTAGGGAAAGGCCTTCCCCTCACAGTGAAGTGGGACGAAGAGAAGAGAGCGGTTTCTCAGGACTCCATCTCCTCTTGGTCGAGCGGCGGCGGCACGAAGCTGATGACTTCGTCGTAAGTCAGGCCTGGCGGGGAAAAGAGCAATAAAATCTTGGTGGGCAGCGCCAAAGACATCCCCCTTGGTGCAAGAAAATCTGCAAAAAATCTTAAGGGTACTAACACTATTTAAAATGAAAAAATTTAGTTAGGAAGAACACGAAAAGAATGGTTACACCATTCTCAGAGACTAACGTACGTAATAAAAAACATTTCCAGAGTATTGAAACCAGAACACGTTTGAAAACGACGACACGAGCAACTGCGTCACCTCTGCGTACGTGCACTCGTAATAATTAGTGAGCAGGGACTGTGTTAATTGCGTGCACAGCACGTGACAGGCTCGCTGGGCGCAAGGACCTCAGCCCCAACAGGACACCCACATTTTTACCCATTTCTTTTGTGCCTCTACCTGCCGC